AGTACATCTTAATAGGAAGCACGTCATTACTACCCATACACACAGTAAAAAAAAATGTATATATTGTAATTGACTGGTATGTGCATAGGTAGAAGAATCCTATGCTGACTTACACAACAATATACATTTAAAATTTCTCTGGAGGAATAGTATTTATATTCATTATATTTCTCTACTCTCTAAGTGTTATCCAGATTAGGGTAAAATACCATGGTGTAAAGATGTGGAAACAGGTGTTACTCTCCATAAAGCAAACCCAACTTTTGATTTATTGGGTGCGTACTGAGGATTACAGCAGGTGTAGGAGCTTAACCAAGATGATATGTTTCACAGTGAAGTTGCACAAGTTGAAACAAAAGAGACAAAACAGATGTATAAATGGACTAGCATGTTGTCTCAGCATGAAAAATTATACAACAAGCACCCAAAGTTACTCCACTAAGCTAAACTTTTATACAGTATATCACAGTTGACTCAGGCTGATTTATACTTATCTTACTGGTATTTAAATTGTGTGTTGTTTTTGATTATCAGAATACTCCTTTCTAATGTAAACTTGAAAATAGAAAGTTACAATAAAAAATATGTAAGCACTTCTCAGCAGTGTATTCACAGAAAAATGCGGTATCACTAACAGAACCATCACAAAAGTAAAATAAAATAAAATAATAATTTTTAAAAAAAACATATCCAGCATAGGCAGAAAGAGTTACATTTTGAACTCACAGTTGCAACTGTCTGGATATGATTACTTAGTACTTAATCACTAAAAAGCAACTTGCATAAAACTGTTGCTCGTTGAAGCAAATGAATGTTGTAAACAATTTATGTTTTAACATTGTTACTTAATGACACATTGGAAAAATCAAGGTTTCCTTTACTTTACTTAGAACATAATTAGGTATGTTTATGTTTCTGCTACTGTATAGCAATTTACTTACATGTATTGATCCAGAAAAACTTATATTCTCTTTCTCAAGTCAAAATAATACAATCAGAATCGTGATTTGATTAAATTACAAAAAGGGATATATTAAACTATTTTTTCTTCTACTGATCTGGTATAAAGAAGCAGCTGTAGTGCTTTAGGATACATTTTTATGCATATTTCCACAGTCATGACCCCACAATGTTCAAATGGAGCTCATACAGAAAAGTGTGCACAGTCTTAATAATATTAAAAGTTTAAATATTAGCATATGGCCCATAAAAAAAAAAAAAAACTTACTTGGAACCTCAGCAGCATTTGCACATGGGCAAGCATGCATAAGAAGAGTGTCTTTTAGGATTTATGATATATATCATAAAACGGCAACAAACTGATCAAACTTTTTTAAAAAGTTTTTATTGAATTTACTGTGGTTCTCCAACTTTTTAAAACTACTTTATATATGAGCCAAGATTTTAACACGATGCTTATTGATCTGCATTCTTTGCTAGGACAATAAAGATTATTAAATTATTATTAAATTAATAAAACACAGCCCAAATAAAACTTTGACCTGGGACAATTAAGGACAAAAAAGTGTTTTATCAAAAAAGTTGAAAAAATGCTTACGCAACCAAAAAAGGGGAACACACTTTTAAATTTATGAGATAGCTTTAAATTTCTGTACTGAAAGATTTCTTTTTCATTATGAATAGAATAGAACAGAACAGAATCCCATTAAGACGTTAAAAATAACTAGCGATATCTACAAGAATGATCAAGGATAATTATGTCAGTCACAGATTTTTAATTGGCAGGAATATTTAAATTTCAGACCTGTGCTAACTGAAATACAATATTTAAGCAGTCTGTTTTTCTATACAAACAGCACTTGGCTAAGCATAATATGTTAAGACAGGGATTTCAAACTGGGGAATCACAACCCAGTCAGTTATAGGCAACACACAGGACAAACATTTTGGAAAAAAAAAAAAAAGCAGGCTTAAGCAGACAAAGCAAAAGTACTGTCAAAACCTGCTCTAGTGTTTGCTTCCTAATGTAACTGCAGAAGACACACCAGGTGGTTGTGGTACCACAGAGTTTGAGAACCCATGTAATATATAGATTAAAATGTAATTATTGAAAGTCAATTTATATTCTCTTGACCAATTCTAATTCTAATGAAATCATCTGTTTTACTCATAGAGTTACACAAGTTTGCTTATCACAAAAATTCAGGATCTCTTCTTAAAGATACCGACAGAGACAAATGCTGTTAAATAAGCTTTATTTCTATTAATATTTCTCTACATAATATTTTAAATCAATAACCCTTTGCCCTATATATCCAAACCTGACATTTCTCAGTTTGGTCCTAGGCAATATTATAGATTGAGGCAAATGATGGAATGCATGAATATATTGCTTGAAAAAATCTACGTAGAGTTGATTTTGCTGACAGAACTTTTATCAAGATATTCTAAAAACACTCCCCTCCTCTTCCACTGTTCTGCATGTGATTCTCACTAGGAATAAATTCCACTGAGTTCCAGTAACTATGCACTAGATTGTACTACAGCCTATGGTTTTCTCTCCATGAATTACCAATTTCACCTAAAGTTTGTTTCACTATGGTCTAATTTTATCCATAAGTAACTATGCACTAGATTGTACTACAGCCTATGGTTTTCTCTCCATGAATTACCAATTTCACCTAAAGTTTGTTTCACTATGGTCTAATTTTATCCATAAATATAAACCAGAAATGAAAATTTAAGAAACAGTAAACTTTCCAGCATTTAGATTGTTGACGTTTACTACAAGGGAATTACAGGAGAAATATAAACTTTTCAATTATCTCAAAGTTAGGAAAGTTCATAGATTACTAGTAATCTTAATCTAAATCTATACATCAGTCTATATTTTAAACACATAATGAAAAAGCATCACCATAATAGCTCATAAAATTACTATAACGGAGTATTAAAAAGCTGGAAAGCTTTCAAAATGAAATAACTATGCCACATTGGTACAAGATTATGTTGTCCTTACAATAAAATTTTCCAACACTGATAAACTCAGTTTTATAAAATAAAAATGATTAATCACCAGTAATCTTCATATCTCTTTTAATGATACTTTTCATTCTTAACCATATTTGATATGTAATACACATAAGAACAAACTTGGAAAAAGGACATAAAAACTGATCAAAAAGATACTTGACAATAATTTGAAGCTGCCACATCTGAATCAAAGAGCCAAGCCAGTCTACTTCTCAGAGTGTGTGATTTATATCCAACCTTGTGGTAAAGAGCATTCCATGAAATAATGGAAATTCCCTAAGCCACATTACTCAAGAATTTAAGGGGGGAAAAAAAAAGCATTCACATTCAACTAGTCACCTGTCCTGTTCTTACAGAGCAGCAGCCAGCTGCCCTACGAAAAGTAACTCTGTCCTGTGGGTTATTTCCCATTGAACACATGAGAAGTGGTTCATTTTCCTCTCCAGACTGTTCTCATATCACCTCTGATCAAGGGAATAGCTTTCATGGGATTGTAACAATTTTTTGTGGTCAAACTGAACGATTTAACACATGTGTCAGGCTGCCAGACAGAGGCAGAAAATCTATGATTGTTATTCAGGTAATGGTGATACGTTCACAGAGGGTCAATACTCTAGGTCATTTTATATATTCCTTTAAAGTAACTGCACACCTATATGTGAAGATGGTAAATCTGTACACAGGCTCCAGTTTGGTTAAAAGAGGATCCTCCTGGGTAGATAAAGTGAGATTATCAAATAATAGGCTTTAAGTCTATACACAGTTACTATACTTCCAAACAAATATAATATTAATGTACACATAGGATAAATAGGCTAAGACTATTCACAGAACCAAATTACAGAGATTATTTTGATCCCAAGCATCCTTTCCTTCAAAATCCCATTTATTTCAAGTGATGGTAACTCACAATCAAACTACTGTTCATTTACCTGGTAGTAAGTGAAATTAATGTAATTAAACATGCATCCTTATAAAAATCCATATAAACATTCTTGCATCCATATAAACATAGTGAGGTCACTTGTCTTCATCAATGTCAACAAACCTGTTGCTTCCCTCCAGCAAATTAACACACACAATTGATAAAGCCATTTTGTAAAAAAAATTGTCTTCCAACATCTAACTTTTTTTCCTTCCTCCCACCTTAAAATCTCTGAATCTATTATACAGCTACTTACATCTTATAAGCAGGAAAAAAAGTTGTCTTCTGTACGTTTTTTTATGCCTGCTTTAATTACAGCTTTTGCATTCATGTAACTGTGCCTTCACTGATCAGGGTGGCTGGTTTAAGCAGGATGGAGCTTATATGTGTGTGTTTGGGAGACAGGGGAGAAATAACAATTTATGCTGCAGGATACACACTAACTTTTTATTCCCATGCGAAAAGATGCCATAAGTGTGTTTTAAACTACTGTATACATTCCTATAATGGAAGGCCTGATTGAATATCCACAGGGTAGGTCAGTAGCACTACAATCTTCAAGACTTTTGCAATCAAGAAGACAGGCCCAGAACTGAGCCAACTTCTCAGTTATATATTTAGTATCCAGACCAGGGTGCCCAATGCAAAGGCGTCTACAAACATTCTCTGGTACCAACTGCCTGCCTTTACTTACAAACATGGGTGAAAACCAGACCATGTGCCTATCCATGGAGGTTGGGGAAAGGAGAAGGAAGAAGACAGTTACATCAATAGACCGAAAGTTATCTGCTTTAGGAAAAAGTGAGAAGATGGGGGAGAATTGAAGTTGAAGAGATCAGACAACACTGTTAAAACTTTCAAATGTTCACTACTGGACAATCTGCAGATTACAATGAAGTACTTTTATAAATCTCCCATTGTTTCCAAAGGCAAACACTTGGATCAATCTCTATTCATGATATTAGTATGAATCAGAAGTGTTTTATATTGCCTGGCTCCTGCTCCGAATTGGAAGCCGGCAGGAGAAAACTGAGAATCTTTCTACAATACTTTAAAAGAATCATATAGGGAGCACGATTACCTGAAGAGAAACATATCAATCCAAAGAGATAGACATGAACGAACTCTGCAAACATTGTCTCCAGGTGGAGCCTGTCGATAGTCTCATGCCAAACGGGATAGCTGATAGAAGAGGGGGAAAGGGAAGACTTTTCCAAAAGCCTCCAACACTTTCCAATTGGTAAATCCAAAATTAGCTTAATATAAGCAGCGGGGTCCTAAATCATCCAGAAGTTGATTGAAGAGAATTGTCCCGGCTTCTCAACTGGAGCGGCTATTGTCAGAACGGCGAAGAAGAGTTCAGCAGCCCAAAGCTTTGTTTTCCTTTTGCCCCAGGTTATCCCAAAGGGGCTTTCCTGGCCGCGCTGCGGGACCATCCGACAGCGAGCGAAACACAAAAGCTTCGCGGTTGCTCCCTCTGGCTCCGCTGTAAGAAACGAAAGCCACTCGGGTCACAAGCGGCCCTGAGAGTGCGGCTGCAGCACTGGGTCTTGTGCAGGACCCTCAGAAAATGGGTAGCGGAGACGAGTCCGCGGTAACGGCCGCTACTGGCGAAGACTTGCTTGCAGTGCCGCTGGGCGAGCGTACGGCAGAAAGAAGTCGCGATGCAATCGTTGCTCTAGCAGGAGCAGCAGCAGCCGCTGTGGGTCCCATCACTTGAGGCAAAGAGCCGGGACCGCGAAACAAAGCAGCTTCATAGCAGCCACCACAACAGGGCTGGTCCTCGAGCCCGCCACCGTTTAGGTCCAGCCGCTCGTAAGAGCAAAGACTCTGTCCGGGAGTCTCCTCCTTGTTCCCCAAGCGAAGATGGACACAAAAGCGAGAGACAGCCCAGACAAAACTTCCAAGGACCGCCGCCTTTCCCTCCTCCTCCTCCTCCTCCTCCTCAAGCCAGCCCCTGGCGGAGAAAGAATGTAGTTCCACACCGCCACTCTGAGGGGCCTGGTGGAAACCTTTCTACCCTTGAAGTTTCTGGCATCACGTTAAGGCATGCGGTGAAGCGAACAGTGATTTCTGCCTTGCTGCTGCAGGTCCAATACTGCTTCGGGGCACCTTAAAGGAACCGTACTCCCCAAACTGTACCGAAATACATTTAAACAGACTTTGAATGATGCAGCATTTCTCCCCGTCCTTTTATTACGATTATCAGCCACCTAACCGGAAGATGAAGGGTTAAAAACTTTTTTTTCCCCCCTCCTCTAATTGGATAACAAAGGGCTACACGTTTGGGGATACCTAGACTGGCTCGGAAGAAACCATTTCTTTTGTACAATCACTTCCCCGTTGCTGTAAATGGAACATCCCAGCGTAGGAGTTCAAAAAATCTGCCCGGGTAAAAGTTGTAACCCTTTAATTACTTTTCAAAGCTGATTTGAACCCCCCTAGTAATATCGCGATCTGAACAAATATAGAGCAAGAAGAGGGAGTCCTCCACTCTATTAAGGTAGTTTTTTTACTCTACCTGAAATGTTATATACCTATAACAGGCAGAGGTCTGTCTCAAGAAAAGCAACCAGAAATAAATACAAGGTATGTTGTGATGAAATCTAAAGGTTTTATATTGCACTACCAACAGTGCAATCATAGAAACATTTACTCAGAAATTGTCATGGAAGTTTAATAAGTTATTGGATATTAATACTCAAGTCAATGGGTATGGTACTGCTAACTAAAACAATCAGTTATACAGAGAGATGCCATGCTAGCAAAAACATGACCCCGAGATTTCAGATTAGGCTGTTCAAAACATTTCAGTGGTTGTCTTTGTGAAATTGTTACCACAGCCTATGAAATGTCTAATATTACAATTTAAAACGAGAAACAAAACGTCTAAGATTTATTATCACATTGTCCCTCAAACGTTAACAAAAATAGATTTTTTTCCAATCACAAATACTTTGGCTTCCTATTGTTTTGAGAACAGATAGAAATAGGTATCTTAGTGAAAAGATATTTTTCTCTTGCTAGTGGCAATTTTTTCACTAATGATTTCCAACTCTTCAAACATTGTCTAAATATGGCTCTGCAAATATACAGTAATGAAAATGGGCTTTATGCTGCCACAATGTTTGTCAGTAATGCTTGAAATCACTAATGAGGAAAAGGCTAGTAACACAAGGCTAGTTTTGCTATACTAAAAACAGAATGGCTTCATTCCATGGGGGGGGGGATTATGTCTTCATAAGGATTTGAAATGATCAGTCAAAACTGAAGCAAATTATTATTGGCTATGTAATGAAATTGACTGCTATTCAATATAATTACAAGTTATTATTGCAAAAGACTACTCATGCAGCTTAATCTATTGTAAATCAGATTGGAAGTATGATACAAGATTGCTGAAGAGCACTATTTTAATCTAGGTCTCTTTTACATCAGCAGTATTTATGGGGTGAATGTTAATGAATTGTGGTTTAATTACATGCATATTTATTCATATGTAAATGATGGGTTAGCCTCCTTCCTTAAATTCAATTCATAATTAGATTGGGTAATTTTCTAAAAAGTTAGAAAATCACTTGATTATTTTCAACTCTAATTGTAAGTCCACTTTGGATCCTATTGTGCTCCTTATAGACACTACTTCTGCCAGAATTTCTGACAAAATTACATTTCTCAATTTCTCTGGTAGCTGGAAAGCTGTCTAAACAGTCTTCCATGAATCAGGAAATATAGAACAGGCTATTAGAAAAGTTGGAAGGTAAGTAGGTGTGAGACAATGTTATGTTTCTTTTCTGTTCATATTAAACCTGGGCTGGAAAATAAAAATGAGGTTGCAATGCTTGTCGTGAACTAGAGGTGAACATTTTGAATTGAGGTTCATATTTTACACACAGGAATTTCAAGGCCTGTAATATTGTATGAAAACAGAAAAAACTGGAAAACTGGAAAAAAATCCACTTAACTCAGGAAACCTAAGTGAGTATTAGATTGCATCCTTCAGTTTCAACCTAATGTCCCCCAGTTGTGATGGACTGAATTCTCAGCCAATTCTGGAAACTATAGAGTTGCGTCACCAGGTTTTATAGGCTTCTGAGCACATTTAGAATTTCAAGAGCCCCAAATAGCACCCACACTAAATGGCTTCTACGGTTACTGCTTATTTCTAAAATGGTTGCCACTATAGGTATGGCCAGGTATTGTAAATCATCATTTATCAGAAGGCAAACTGATCCTGCCACTCCTTCCAGCTTACAGCAATGCCCTTTACCATTCCAGCTGACCTTCCCGTAGTTGTGTTTATGTTCCTTTCCTATGGACAGGCACTATTTTAAAGAATACACTGGGCTGACACCATCAATGATTTCCATGTTCTAAATAATAGAAATAAAATGTATAATGGCATTCTTGAAAATAAAGATGATGATTAGGAGTAGTATTTTGCTTTACAGGATACTAGCTTTTATTTTATGCATTTATTTCAATTAAAAATAATCCGTAAAAATATTTTAAATGTCAGGTGAGGTAAAAGGAGCCTAGAAAGCACTAATGAAGCTATGTAAGGGTGCATTATATCAGTCTGGAGTCCAACAGGTAGCATAGATTGCACCAATATCACATTTATTTATTTATTTATTTATTTATTTATTTATTTATTTGCTTAGTTACTTACTTACTTATTTATTTATTTTCAACACTGAAAACATATGCATATGTTCCAAACATATAAACAAAGGCTTAGTTTTTTATTATTATATTATTCCACAATTATTAATAAGTTCTGCTGAAATATATGAGGCTTCTGAGTAAATAGCTTACTAACCCGGAAGCAAGTCGCTGGAACAAACTAGTACAAGATTGTGCAAGCTAAAGAGAAACTATCAGTAACCTGAATAAAAATCACAGGTGTCTACTCTAGCAGGTTAGGACAGCCTCCAGCCTAAATTCAGGCATGAATGAGGATACCTGACAAAGCAAGGTAAAGCTTTCTTTGACAAATGTAAGTGTGCTCGCATAACACTGAAGTAAAACAACATTCATGCATTTATATTATCATAATCTTCAGGCTGATTTCTCTCTCTTTTGAACATTCAGGTACTTTGGGCCAAACCTATATTTGCATTATGTTATAAAATTTGACTGTTAAGTGAATTGATTTCAGTCACAGTCCATTGTAGCAATGTTGTTTCTACTAATCCAATATAAGCCAATATCTGCAGAATTAAGTATTAAATCCACTGCATTCAATAAGAATTATTCACAGATAAGAATGCATAGAATCATTTCTCATGTTAGGATGTCTCCAGTTGCAGAACTTTGTCTTCTTCCACTGCATTCTTATATGACTTTTCCTGATTATATATTTGAATACTAAAGACAATCACTCTAACACACAAATACTTAGATCATTCCAAAGACAAAGGCTGATAAGAAACCTACAGCAATTAATGCAATGTATGACCTAATGGTTAGTGTTACCATACCAGGGCTGCAAAAATATAGGCAACCACTAGCGGTAATCCAGAAGCCAGGTATGCTTGTCCTACAGCTGAATGGGTTTTCACTTTTATATCATCACTGACAAATGCCTTTTATTTCAGAGACAACTACAGTAAGAAAGATCTGATCATATATGCCAACATGATACATATGGAATCAAGAAATAGACTAAAGACGTAAAAAGAATTCTTCGTGAAGGAAGGCATCTACCATAGTTATTTGAAAATAACCGGAAAAATTAAAAGTGACTTTGAAGAAGAGGGATCCTGAGAAAGATGACAATCTGAAACAGAATCAATACAGAATCAAGATCATTTATTACAATGCATTTACAAATTGTTACTCAAATATGACATGGAGGCAGAACAAATTAAAAATTGTGTGTTAAAATAGATGTAAAACTTCAAAGAAGTAATAACAGTAGAACAATGGTACAAAACTCTGTCAATGATTGCCAAAATGATATAAAAGTGGAAAAAACAATAAAATTTACACCAAGTTACAATTTGAGGTAAAATTGTCATAAAATGTTCTACAGATGGTACATAACTCTGTCAATGGCTGCCAAGATGGACAAGTCAAACAACAATATGAACTGCCACAACAAAGAAGGAATATTTTATCATATGTGGTTACAAAAAGACTAAAAAGTACTAAAAAGAAATACATCATCTGGAAAATTTTGAAAATTACATTACATTACAGGCATAATGAAGTTTTGGCTAACATGTTGTATGAGATGAAATACTGAGGTTTGTAAACCATAATTCATAGTTTAGCATAATGTATGAAACAGATCACTTTGTATTTTATAATGATTATCTCAGAAATCAAACATTTTATACTGTAATTAATTCTTTCCAATGGCCATTAATGTTTTTGCGGGATTTTTTTTCCAGTTTTGAAATATGTAAAAATAGGATTTACTTTGTATTAAAGTTAGGCTTCATTTTCAGATAGATTATATGTTAACAGATACAGCATGATTTGGATCTATACAAAGAATGCAAACCTTTGGATATTTATCTGAGATAAGTTACTGAACATTGTTTTACTTATACAGGACCATAATAAGATTTGCACTTTTAATTGGATAATTAGAAAATTGGGAAAAAAAACCAAACCCAATTTAGTTTGGTGTTAATGGGAAATAAATTCAATTGGCCTAGGCTTGGATATTATTCAACACCTCAAATATGTTCAGGCTGAATTTTACTTCATCAAATCTGATTACATTTTTTTAACATCTGAATTTTAAATATACTATGGATAAAATTTGAATTTTAAAAAATACCAATTTTTAAATGAAATCTGACTTTATCTGGTCCCAAGGACTGAAAC